AAAATATATATATTTTTTTATTGATTTCAGAGAAGGGAGAGGGAGAGAGAGCTAGGAACATCAATGATGAGAGAGAATCATTGATTGGCTGCTTCCCACATAACCCTGACTGGGGATTGAGCCCACAACCCAGGCATATTCCCTTGACCGGAATCGAACCCTGGACCCTTCAGTCCGCAGGCCAACGCTCTATCCACCGAGCCAAACTGGCTAGGACTCATTGCATTTTCTTGACCATTTAAGCACAAAAATTTAAAATTTTGGTGGTGTTCAAAGTATCTATTTTTTCTTTTCCTTTTTTGATCGTGCCTTTGGCTTTTTATCAAAGAACTATTGCCTAATCCGAGTCAGGCCAGGCTGTAGGCATTTTGGAGTGAGGACCAGGGCAGTGGGCACATGGCACAGGGTGGCCAGCAGGCTGTTTGTGTGCTCGGGAGCTCCAAGTCCAGCGCAGGTCCCTCTTGAGCTCAAGAAGCAGGGCCCTTCCCAGCCTGGCTCCTCACTCAGTCCTCTTCTCAGCCTCTGCTCTCCCCCTCCCTGCCTCCCTGCCCTAGGGGGCTCCGTGAGGACCCAGGGGAGCAGCAGAACTCCCCATAATCAGTCCTTGTGGGAGAGGCATGGGTTCAGGTGTCCCCCTCCCTGACACTGGCCTGAATCCAGAGTTCAGGGCAGACTCTCTCATCCTTGTTTGCTCCCACTCCTCCATGTCCTGTTTCCAACCAGACTTCCCCTCCTGAGCAGAGTTGCGAGCAAATAAATGTTAGGATGAACCAGGAACTTGTGGGTGGCTTGTTACAGAGCAGTAACTAATTGCAGCGGGTCGCTGCTGCTGCTTTCTGCCCAGACAGTGTGCGTGTATGCGTGTGCACCTATGTGCGTGCGTTAGGGACAGTGTCTTCAGCCGGAGGCCTCTAGACTATTTGAGATCTTAGGGCCCAGACTCCAGACGAGCCGCTCAGCTTTGACATCTATTTCTGCTGAACTCCTCATTGGAACCCTGCTTCTCCCGCTACCATAGTCCAGTTCAGGGCCTTTTTAGAACAGGCCCTACCTGTATTTGATGTGATTGGCGTGCAATTTGCATACATAAGTCATGTTAGGTGGTCTCTAAATGTTTACCTGATGCCTCTGTGGGGGAGGTATTAGCATCTTGGACTCTTGGAGGGGACAGGGGACTGGAGTTACCTGGTCTGTTCTCCCACCCTTGCAGGGTCTGCTTGATCGAATGACAAACCCACCACCTTCCCAGGCAGCTCTTGGATGGCTGGAGTGTTGAAGAGGTCCTGTGCTTGCCAAGTTTTGTATAGAAAAAGGTGAGGTAGTCTGTCTACATTTAGTTTGGGTTTAGTTCTTTGCTCTGGGAAAGTCAGGGCAAGTCAAACCCCACCCCCCCCACCCCCCACCCCCTAATACAGGACAGGTACTACGGTGGCCTTAGGCATCCACAGCACCGTCATTGTCTCTGGCCTGACCTCTGCCCCAACCACCCCAGCAGGCTGCTTCTGGAAATGCCGGACCAGCAGCTTTCAAGCGTTCTTTCAGGAGCAGGGCCCTGTTTGTAAATGAAATCTCACCTAGAGCCCAACGTGTAAGGCAGATGGAAGTGGACCTGCTCTGGATGAGGGCGAGCAGGAAGAGTAGAGGCCCCCGGAGAAGTTCCCCCACACCCCTGGCCACAGCCAGGCCGCCCAGCTTGCAAACCACTGTCCTGGTGTGTTCCTCTCAAAAGCTCCTCGGGGTCCTCTGGGTATGGGACCCGCCTGCAGACCTGCAGAGCCTCCCAGCAGCGAGCCCTGGCTTTCCATTTCGGCAGCAGAGGGGACATGAACAGGCTAAGCCGTTGCATTACAACACTGCCTCTCAGGAAGCTCGAGGCCTGCTGAGCCCTCCGGGTCTCCTGGCCTGGCCTAAGCCTCCGCAGCCTCAGACACCTGCTTCCGGAGCCTGGACTGAGGAGAGGACAGAGAGGAATGGAGAGGCCTGGCCAGGGGCTCTGACTGGGCCCTGGAAAGAGTCCCTCGGTCAGAGCCCCAGCTTCCTTAACTCTGGGGAAGGGAAATAGTGCTTCCTTGTAGATGATGCATGAAGGGCACACAGATAGCCCTGCGCGGCACCCGCCTCAGAGCTGGTGGGCTGTCCCTATGGAGCCGAGGGAGGCATGGAGCAGCGGGTGGAATGCAGACCCTGCTGTAATCGGCTTATCCTTTCTGTAAAACTGAGATGGTAACTAGAATATCTACCTCCCCGTGAGGTGCCGAGGACCCAGGAAGCCTCGCACCCAGGCGTGGTGCCTGTACGTGGTACAGGGCAGTCTGCTGTTACCATCCTGGGCTCTGACCCCGTGAGCGTCGGCCTGGCCCACACTCTCACCCACCCCTCCAAGACCTGACACAGCCATCAAAACACTGGAGGTTTACTTTGGCAACAGGACTTTTATTCAGTCAGAATGAGCAGAGTGTGACAGAAGTCAGGCCCAGTCAGGCTAGGTGGCCCCCCCTCCCCTTCCTCCCCTAGACCCACCCTTCCCACAGGAGAGGGGGTTACTGGATGAAGGGGGTGCGGAGAAGCCACTGCGGGGACCAAGGCCTGTCTGGGAGCTTGGAGAAGCCCTCAGCACGGGCCCAGCATTTGGGAGATGGGGCGGACCGCCCTTCTGAGTCCACGCGGATACGACTCCAGTCTTCTAGGGAAACATCACAAAGTCTACCTGCTTCAGCTAATTAAAGTTCAGGGTGAGGGGCCCTAGGGGGTTGGGGGTCAGGGACTTTATAGTCTAATCTCACACTTAAGGAATACACTTATCTTTTCTCCCTTTAAAAAAAAGTTCCTTTCTGCTATTTAAAAAAATGTTTCTGAGTGTCATAAAAAATAGGTATTTGTTTCCTTGGTTTTCTTTTTCCTTCTTTAACTAAGTATCTCAAAGGACAACACAACAGAAAAGAGAAACAAGCAGTCACAACATCAACACCCTTAAACACACCTTGTATAAAAATAGCTTCCGGCCACACTTGCTGACAGCGGTCTTTCCACTGTCCAGGGGGTGGGTCAAGCTGGCTGTGTCCCATGGGACAGAGGTCTGGAGAGCCTCCGCTGGGGACCCTCCCCACGCACACACACACCCATCACGCACACAGTACATTCCAGGGGCCGGCCTGCTCCGGGCTCGGTGTCTGGGCGGGACGGGGGGGCAGGCTTCAGAGTGACGTCCCACCCTCCCGAGGCCCAGGAAGAGAGAGGGCCGAGGGGATCCCAGTCCAGGGTGAGTTGGCTGAGAGGGTCAAATGGGAGTGGCTAGAGCAGACGAGACAACCAGCACTGGCTTCGTTTGGAGCAACAATTTACATTTCAAGGAACAAATTTTCCTCTCATTTTTGGCTTTTTTCCCATTATTTGACCAATTCCATCTTCATTTCTATAGGCCCCGAGAGGCCTACCCTTGGTGGCTCAGCCTCTGGCCTCCTCTGGGGAGAGCCAGGGCTGTGGGCAGGAGGAGGAGCCAGCAAGAGGGTCCAGTGATAGCAACACAGGCCCGAGAGCCAGTGGGCCTTGAGGTAGACGGTTTCTTTCACACCTGGTAATAGGGAAGCGCCTTTTTTTTTTTTTTTTGCTTTTTTTTTTTTTAAACTCTAAACTATAATGTGGGGAAGGGGAGGGGGTGCCCATAAAGGGGCTTGAGGTAGGAGTGCATTCGGGGCTCTGTGGGGAAGAGGGGCTGAGGCCACGGCCACTCCCCCACGGACATTCATTCCGGCTGAGGTAGGTGCTGAGAACCAAAACAGCAAAATCCATCCTGAGAAAACAAGGTGGGTGGAGGGTGGCAGTGCCAGGGGCCCGGCCACAGCAGGGCATATTTTTGGAGTCTGATTCACCATCCTCTCTCTTCTCTCTCTCTCTTTTTTTTTTAGTTTTAAGTTTTTTTGTGTTTTTTTTTAAGGAAAACAGTTCATTCCAAGTCATATGGGTACCAGGCAGAGGTGAGGGGGCACTAGCCCAAGGGAGGGGCTCCTGCAGAGGCCCCTCCAGGTCCTTGGGGGGCTCCCTGCCGAGGCTTCTGTAGGCCTTGACAACCTGGGGGCAGTCAGAAATGCTGGGAAGCCCCCATCCGAATCCCACACGACTGGAGAAACCTTGCCTTTGACCTGAGAATGGGGGGTTGCCCCCCTCCAGAGCTGTCCAGACACTGGCTACTGTCCCGAGAGAGCTGGCTGGGCAGCTGGTGCTGAGGAAGGCCGGGCAGCTTGTCCTTCACTGAGGAGGCCGGAGCCTGCGTCCTGAGGTGGGGGGGCAGCTGTGAGGCCTGCGCAGGGAGCCTTGGCCTCCGACGTCCTCTCCTCCCGAAGGCCGACCCCCTGAAGTGGCAGCATGGAGAGCGGGGTCTCCTCACACAGGGCAGGGGCCGCAGGATCCTGCTGGGGAGTGGGCCAGTCACACCGGCGTCAACACGAGGCCAGAGGCCCACATGCCCTCCAGCCAGAGGCCTGGGCTCCGGATCCACTCCCACTCAGGGCTCAGGGGCTCCAGGCCTCCCTGCTGGCTCGGGCACAGAGAGACGCACGGGCCCTATTTTGTGTCAAGAGAAGACCTGGAGCTTGGTGAAGGCCGATGGCCAGCGTACAGGGAGGGCAGGATCGGAGGTGGGAGGGACACTCACCGTGGGGCTGGGGCTGGGGCTGCGGTCTGGCTGGCCCGCTGCCCGGGCCGGGGGGAACAGCTGCTCCAGTTCCTTCATGTCCGCACGTTTCTCGTCTCGGCCCAGTTGGTCCCGATCTACCAGTCTGGCCCCATTCAGTGCCAGGATACCAGGGTCCCTCTGGCTCCGGGGGCCCTGAGGAGGGGACAGCTGGTTTTCTACATCCTTACACAAGAGGACCCTATGGGATGAGCCAGAAGTTAGGGAGAAGGACCTGTGGGGGGGCAGGAAGGGGGGACAACAAAAGGATAGAGACAGCGAGCCCAAACTCTCCTCTCCCCCGCGGCTCCTCCTCCTCCTCCCACCTCATGTCAGTCCAGCCCCCTCTTCCTGTCCCAGTACCACCTGCCCCTTTGGCCGAACAGGAGGAAGAGGACACAGAAGATGATGCAGGTGACCCCGATGTGGATGCCGATGACGATGCCTGTGGTGGACATCTGGTTGGTGGCCTCCTCCTTCCGGCAGTCACACGGTGGGCTCAGGGCTGGTGGGAGGGGCAGGTTGGGGGCTGTGGCTCCTCTGGTCTGAAGCAGTCCCAGACACCCCATATCTGGGGGCTCCTTATCTGTGAGCCACACCCACCCCAAGTCCATAGAGCCTTTGTCTTTGCCTATGGGACTCCAGCCCAAACTTTTCAGCTCTTTTTACCAGTTACTGAGTATTATGTGCCGGAGACTGAGAATAACACTGTAGACCTCGACACAACTCCATAGAGTGCCCCTGTAGTCCGAACAGGTATTATTATCCCCCTTTTATAGAGGAGGAAACTGGGGCTCAGAGAGGTTAAGTCACTTGCCCAAGGTCACACAGCCAAACTTTGAGCTCAAACCTAAGCCTATGTTCTCAAGGGCTGCATGCAACTCTTGTACCCTCTTTCTTTCCCCGGGTCCCTGCTCCCCTCTGCCCACAGCCCCTGGCTTCCATTCCTGCGTGCCAGTCCTTAGCCTCACATTCCAAACACAACCCTCACCTGTCCTCTCAGATGCTCCCCTCAAAGACACAAAGCGGACTGTGGCGTTGCCATCCCCATGCTGGTTGTAGGCGAGCAGCTTCACCTCGTACACTGCAGTGGGGTCTGGGGGAAAGGCAGGGAAGGCTGCTGAGAGACCAGCCAGCCACCAGTGGGGGGCTCGATCCCAGCAGGGAACAGAGGTGACTCCTGCGCCCCACCGCCTGGCCCCAGGCACTGCACCCTGGCCAGACTCCCCAAGGCCAGGCTGTGTCCACCTCACCGAGCTGGCTGAGGTTGTAGGAGGAGACAGTTCCAGGCAGCACGATGGGGCCGGTGAAGGCGGCCTTGCTTGCTGGGCGGTAAAACAGCTTGAAACCGCCCCGATGCAGGGCTAGCCGGGGCCAGGGCTCCCACAGCAGCTGCAGGGTGGAGCTGCCCAGGACTCGCACTGACAAGGGGGGTGGGGCGGGTGCTGCAGGCGGAGAAGGAGGCCAAGATGTGAGGACTTTTTCCATGTTCCACCTGTGACCCAGACCCCCAAGAGCCTGACAGTTCTCTGGCTTCTGACTCTAGCTTGTTCAAAGAGTACCTTTACATGAATTAGAAAAGACACCCCTTCCTCCAGACAGAACCAGCCCCCACTCAGCCTCAGAGCCGAGCACCCTGTGCCGTGCACAGCCTGAACAAGTGTGCGTGGGGGTTCTGCTCTAATACCCTGGGTGTCTGCGGTTTTTTGTGTTTTTATTTTTAATATATTTTATTGACTTTTTTACAGAGAGGAAGGGAAAGAGATAGAGAATTAGAAACATCAATGAGAGAGAAACATCAATCAGCTGCCTCCTGCACACCTCCAACTGGATGTGCCTGCAACCAAGGTACATGCCCTTGACCGGAATCGAACCGGGGACCCTTGAGTCCGCAGGCCGATGCTCTATCCACTGAGCCAAACCGGTTAGGGCGGTGTCTGCGGTTTTGTACACCATGACCAGGCCTCACCTTCGCCCAGGGTGCTGGCCAGGGTCGGGGGAGAGGCTGAGCTGGCCCCCCGGGGGGTGTAGGCTTTGATGTAGAAGCTGTAGGCGGTGGAGGGCTCGAGGTCGCTCACCAGGTGCTGAAAGGTGCCTTTGCTGACTGCTTCCTGATACTCCAGCTCTGGTGGGTCTGGGGAGGCGAAGGGCAGGGCAGGAGAGTGTAAGGGCATGAGGGTGCCCTCCCCGCACTGGTGAAGGGAGGGCAGCCGGGGTGCAGGGGGGAGAAAGAACGGAAGGTGTTGGGTAGGGACACGCAGATGGAAAGGGAGAGAAACAGTGAGTCCGAGGACAGGGCTGCAGAGCCAGCCCGGCCCACTCGGGCCCACACACCAGCAGCCTTCCGGATGTGCAGGACGTAGCCGATGATCTCCTTGGTGTTGACCAGGGGCTCATTCCAGGACACTCGGACCTCGGTGGGTGATATGGAGACCGCCCGCACGTTGATGGGGGGCCCGGGCAGCCCCTCAGCCCAGAGCACGGTCAGCCTGGCACTGGCCTGTGAGGAGCCAGCACTGTTCTCGGCCACACACTGGTAGATGGCCTCATCTTCAGGGCCGACTCCAGAAATGGTCAGGGTGCTGCGGGGGGAGGGAGAGCCTCAGGGCCCGTCCTCCTCCCAGAGTCCCCCTGCAGGCGGCCAGTCTCCCCATTTGGGAGATGAAGAGACAGAGCTCCTCCAGAAAACAAGCGGCTCGGCTCGGCGGAGGTCTCCCAGCAGGTGAGACCGGAGACTCAAACCCAAGTCTCCAACTCCCAACCTAGTCCTTCCCCAGGGGGAGGCGCACGGCCTGCCCAGGCCACTGACCGTAGGCCTCGCCCCAGCACACACCACACACGTGCCTGTTGTTATTCTTGAGCCTGACGTGGCCTCCTGGCCCCAGCACCTGTCCATTCTTCAACCACGTGACGTGAGGGGGCGGCTCACCCTGGGCTTGGCAGGTGAACATGGCTGTGGTCCCGGCTGGTCTGGAAATGGACTGGGGGTGCTGGACAAACTCTGCTGGGGCTGGAAGGGGCGCACAGAGAGCATAAGAGCAGTGAGGGGCAGGTGGCGAGGGATGAGACAGCTGTGAGGGAAGGGACGGGGACAGGGGAGAGGGACAGGGCTGGCAAGCCTCCAGGTGGGGCCCGGGCTTCAGGAGGTGGTGGCAGGTCCCACCTCCATCCACCAGAGGCAGACCCCAGAGAGGGCTCCATTTTAATGACTATTTAAAAGACTGACATTTGTATCCGAAAGCAATCAAGCTGAGCTCCCTGTTCAGGAAATTGTTAAATAAATAAATGTGCTAATAGGTTTGGCTGCACCTCGAAGGCGGTAATGACGGGGGAGATGGATGAGTCCTCAGTGCCAGCCCCCCTCGCCCCTACATTCAATTCCACCCTCCTCCAATCCCAGGCCTCAAGCCTCCATTAACACCCGAGAAATGAAATGCTCCATCACTTTCATTTGGACAGATTAACGGCACATGCAACGCTAAACAAACGGGGATTGAAGTCCCTAAGACCCCGCGCTGCCACCCCTTCCCCAGCTCTCGAGGCGGGCACAACACAGACAACCCCTGAGAAGGAAATCCAAGCCCAGACCACGGGGACAGTTGACCACAGGGTAGGAGGATGGACAAAATGACCTGGTCGGCTGCAGAGGCCCTGAACACTGCGGCGTGGAAGCGGGCTGTGTGCGAGGTGGGAGCTGGGGTGTGAGTGTGAAAATGACAAACACACTGAGAGTGCTCAGGCAGGTGTGAGTGTGGAAGTACCGCACGTGTGAATGAAAACAGCATGTGGTGTGAGGGACACGTGT